TTAAAACAACAACCACAGAGCCACATGGTCACCATAGAACCAGTTCTAGATATTCCGGATCATGGTTCCACAAGGTGAAATTTGCTATCTCTCATAACCACATCAAACGACATATCAAATCACATATATTCGACGAAATATGACCTGAAAACAAAAACCATAGACCCATTTGGGCTCCGTAGAACTGGTTCCGGATATTCCGGATGGTAAATTTCGCTATCTTTCGGTATCATATCAAGTGACATATCAAATCACATCTACTCGTCGAAATATGACCAATGGCACTAAAACAACAACGATAGAGCCATATGGCCACCGTAGAACAGGTGCCAGATATTCAGGATTATGGTTCTAAATGGGTAAATTTGTTATTTATCTTAACTATAACAAGCGACATGTCAAATCACTTCTACTCGATAAAATATGACCAATAGCTCAAACAATTAATAACAGATCATCATCATCATCATCAATCAAAACAACAATCATAGAGTCATAAGTCCACCTAAAAGTCGAATTAAGATGTACCAAATATATATGGCACAATATAGCTGAACTAGACCCGGCAGGTCCGAAGTCGATATGAACATAAATTCAGAAACATAAGTGAAGGCGGCCTCCCTTAGCTCAGTCGGTAAAGGCGCAGCTACAAAGCAAGACCATGCTGGAGGTGGCTGGGTTCAATTCCCGGTCCGGTCTGGGAATTTTTCGGGTTGGAAAATTTCTCGACTTCCCTGGGCATAGAAGTATGATTGGACTTGCCACACAATTATACCAATGCAAAAATGGTACAGGCATCGAAAGCTCTCAATTAAATAACTGTGGAAGTGCATCTAGAACACTAAGGTGAGAGCACGCAATAAGCTAATATGCGATATGCAATAAGCTTGAAATGCGAAGAAGAAGAAGAAGTGAAGGCGAATCGACGATAGTCTATAGAGGGGCGGAAACGAACGCAAATGCTTTATTAGAACCAGGCAAGATATCGCAGCAGAGGTAGCAGTTATGTCAGTGAAGCTGAGAGAAGAGCTTCAACAAGAACGTCAAGCTAGTCGATAGGAATTGGGTCAAAGTAAGCCAGCCACCCAGGATGGAAACCAGAGCAGTGTGAAAACACTGCTCTATTCAATTCATTGCTCTATCCAGACGCCAGACCGTATGTACCAAACGATAAAGCTAGGTTTAGACTAGGCAAGTGAAATGATCAACTCAGTTGAATTCAATTGGCTTGAAAAGTTGAGCCTGGTTCAACTTTTTTCAATTCAAGTAAATTGAGCAAGTCAGTTGAATGGCATGGTTTACACGTTCAAGTCGCGTTCAAGTCAGTTGAATTCAACTGACTTGATCAATTGACTTGCCCTATCTAAACCCACCTTAAAGCTGGTTAAGACTAGGCAAGTCAAATGATCAACTCAGTTGAATTCAATTGGCTTGAAAAGTTGAGCCTGGTTCAACTTTTTTTAATTCAAGTGAGTTGATCAAGTCAGTTGAATGGCATGGTTTACACGTTCAATTCACGTTCAAGTCAGTTGAATTCAACATGCAAAGGTTTTGCAGCTGAGTTATCAACGAAAGAGAAAGTCGATGAAGAGAATCGATCAATGCAGATAGGACCTTTTGAAACGTTTATCTAGAATTGAGGCATTTTTCCATAGAAATTCATGGCATTCTTAAAACGTACCATCGTACCCGACCAGCTTTCGCAACTTTTTGGAGACATGGTTCGCCATAGAGTTTCGCGAGCTCGTGCTTCATCCTTCGCCTTCATACGCCGTTCTCACATACTCGCCAAAGATGGTCCTAAGCACTGATCGTTCGAAAACACCCAGTGCTTGCAGGTCCTCCTCGAGCATCGTCCACGTATCGTGCCCGTAGAGGACTACCGGTCTTATCAGCGTCTTGTACATGGTACTTTTAGTACGGAGCTGAAGTTTACCCGACCTCAGGGTCTTGTGAAGTCCGTAGTAAGCACGACTTCCGGCAATAATACGCCGACGAATTTCTCTGCTGCAGTTGTTATCCGACGTCACCAATGATCCGAGGTACACAAATTCATCCACCACCTCGAACTCATCTCCGTCGATTGTTACGCTTCTGCCTATGCGAGCCCTATCCCGCTCGGTTCCTCCAGCTAACAGATACTTTGTCTTCGGCGTATTCACCTTTAATCCAACCTTCTCTGCTTCACATTTCAGCCTGGTGTACTGCTCCGCCATGGCCTGAAACGTTCTTCCGACAATGTCCACGTCGTCAGCGAAGCAGATGAACTGACTGGAGTTATTGAAGATCGTGCCCCGCACGTTTCATAACACCTTCTATAGCAATGTTGGACAGGAGACAGAAAAGACCATCGCCTTGTCGAGGACCTTTGCGAGTTTCAAACGAGTGCGATAACGCACCCGATTTCTTCACGCAGCACTGTACACCATCCATCGTAGCCCTGATCAGTCTGGTCAGCTTCCCGGGAAAACCGTTCTCGTCTATAATCTTCCATAGCTCTTCACGGTCAATAGTATCATAAGCGGCCTTGAAATAGATGAATAGGTGATGCGTAGGGACTTGATATTCACGACACTTTTGGAGGATCTGCCGCAACGTAAAGATTTGGTCCGCTATCGATCGCCCGACCACAAAACCGGCTTGATAACTTCCCACAAATCTGCTTGCTAGCGGCGATAAACGGCGAAAGATGATCTGGGAAAGCACTTTGTAGACCGCGTTAAGAATAGTGAAAGAATAAGAGAATCGATCAAAGCAGATAGGACCTGTTAAAATGTTTATCTAGATTTGTATGGATGAGTGTTGTGTACCTCTAAGGATGGGGTTTAAAAGCACTTAAAAACTACTCTTGAGGAATGTAGATAGTGCCTAACATCACATCAGGTAGATGAATGTTTCCTCTAATCGCGTTTATGAAGCCGGCTGATAGACTGACAGTTGCTTTGGGTCTATCCATAAACTACGCAGATCGTTTTATTGAGAATTTAGAACCATGATGTTCAGGATCTTCCAGAAGACGGTTCCATGGCCATCTGGTTCCATGTTTATATCACGACCCAAAATTCTTTCTTACATCACAGTTCCAAGTGTTTAAAAAGGAACTTCAGAGCTCGAGGATCAGTTTCACAGATTTACCAATTTACGGATGATCCGGATCTTTTGGAGGACAGTCCAATGACCATCCAAGTTCATGTTTATATCATATATCTCAGTTTGAAGTGTTTTCGAAAAAACCGCGGAGGATGGACCACTTTTACGGTTCTTCCGGAGGACGCTCCCATGGTCATTCGGGTTCATGTTAATGTTACGACCCCAAATTCTATATATGTTCCTAATGTTTTCGAAAAAAAAAGACGGAACTCTAGGATCAGGTTCGTGGATTGACCACTTTTACTGATGTTCCGGATCTTTCGAGGACCGTTCCGTTGTCCCAGAATCCATATATAGGAACCATGACTGTACTCTATCTGTACTGTACTGTAATCTTCTTGCGATCAAAGTAATCTACCGATCGTAGGAATTCTAGAGGCACCACAATTTTTGAATATCATCAAGAAATGGCTAAGCTATTCCATTGCAAACTCTCCGTTACACGCTTTTCAGAGGCTTCGTAGTCGGGCGTAAAGTTTTACCCACCGTATTCGGAGTGTTAAGAAATATATTTAGTAATTTCTGTTGAAAATACTCTTCGCACAAGAATTTTAACATCTGATTCGGTTTCAGGGAACCCACATTTTATAAGAACTTTTACTAGAAATATACTCGAAAGTCATTTGAGGGGTTGATCAATTTCACCCCATATCGATGTTTTCAAATTTGATATTTCAAAAATCTTCTGAAAATAAACAAAACACTCAAGGTAATATGATAAGTAATCATGCAGAAGCCCCGTAACTAAGGGAACAGGATTTTTCAGTAATCCAAGGAACACATCTTAGTCCTTGTTACTTTTTATGCCTTGTTGGTAGTGACAAGACTCGGCTTTGTCTACCGAGGATGATCTTGAAACAAGGAAAAAAATGAGTTAGTTGTCTTCATCTATGTGATTCCTAATCTTCTACTCGTTGTTCCCTAGTTTGAAGTGGTTAAGACTAGGGTTCTGATGCATGTGTCACCGGTGTCATACCTTAATTTTGTTGCCAAGGAATCCAATTTTGACTGACATAAGGGCGCGCCTTTGGAGGGTGTTTCAACACTCCGAAGGGTATAAATAGCGGGACCTTTCAATTAGAGTCGGATCCTTGCGATAACTGCAAGAGTGGCAACTGTAAAAAAAATCGAATACTCGAATTTCTCAATACTGATGGAGTAATACGACATGCACTAAACTAAGGACGATAGATCAATTTACTGGTCACAGTAGTGTTAGGTCCCGAACAGAGGAAAAAAAATCATGCAGAACGAAAGAGACCTCATCGCTGCTGTTATTAATACCATAAGTTTGTCAATTTCGTTAAACGTAAAAATTTATTTATATTAATTCATCAATTAACCCAAGATTACGGTACTGTCCTGTTGAATTTAATGTAAACAGCCTTTCAATATATTTCTTTTAACTGCTTCAAAGTATTGCCAATGCATACTGTAAGCGTAGATATGGTTTAACCTTGTACCCATTTAAACATCGACAAAACATGTGTTCGGATGGGAAATACCCATCAGAATTTCACCAAAAAATTGTTAAAGCCCGGTTTACACTTGTGCTGATTAAATACTGCTGCTGGGCTTGTCGCTCGCAATAATGGTTATCAGCGTGATATAACCAGCTTTTCGCAGCTGATTGACATTGGCGCATCAATTTCTGTCACAAACGTGGCTGATTTACATCAAATATGGCCAATCAGCATTATGAACCAGCACTAATGTAAACCGGGCATAAATTCTGTTCAATTTTCTACCCCCATAGGTAGAATAAAACCATCCTCAAAGCACGTAAATCAACCAACTGTAGATACCTATACCATAGAACAATGCGAATAACATAAACATTCTGCACTTACTTTTTGATCCATCCGAAGAGTCCCATGGTGGTGGTTGCTGTTGCTGCTGCTGCTGCTGCTGCTACTGCCTCAAACCCACCAATATCCGTTAGCAACACACAATCCGGCCCAGATGCCGATGGATTACCGCAACAATAACAATAAATCACCTGTTGTTTGCTACCGACCAGAGGCTTACAACAATTTCACACTTCTTCTGCTGCACTATGCTACCGCTAGCCTAACACAATGCCCAAGTTGTCCGTCGTCAATTTCAGCGAGTTTTTGCTTCTCCATACTCCCCGAAAAATAATCAACAAATCACCGTAAAAATCGACATAATCAAGGGATTGCAACCACCGATTCCATCTTTTCACTATCCGTTTTTTTTATCACTTCATATGATGCTATTTCGTCACTATATCGAAAATAGCTTTATATTTATTTATTTTTTTAGCAAATCACTCACACTCGTCTTCCGAATTTATATATCACACGGCAAGCACTCTTCCATCGAAAGTAATAATATCCAACCACACTACCCCTTTTGAAGCTCAGTACAACGCGATCGTGTAACTGATGATCGGATAATGATAGCAAATTGTAGGTATGCCAGATATGCCTTGACTCGCTCTATCAAAACGGCATTAAATTAATCATCCGTTTGTGGGATTGGGGAATCAATCGCGACTGATTTAAGAGTCACTCTCACTGCACTCAACCAATAATGTGTAGAGACAATAGTATTCTTCACGATTCAAGTTCCATTGTTCACACAAAACTAACAGCTTTCAAAACTTCGTTTTACAATCACCAATAATGAACACTTTTGTTTACGGCGGCACGGCAATCGCGGTGGTGCCGCTGGTGAAGCACGTGTTTTCGCAACTTGCGTCGTTGTTATGGTTTCTGCAGCGTTTTACACAAGCGTCGTCTTCGTCGGCGACGGCGCAGCAACAGACGTCCGTAACCGTCAGCTGTCAAAACGCGAATGGTGGTTCGGTTCGGTGTTGTTTTGTTGCACTGAATCCGCTGCTCCTGCTGCCTGCCTAACCGACGTAGTCGAACTGAGAAGAGTCGCGTCCGCCGTTTGTTCCACCTGCGCGCGGGGTTTTCTATTATTCTTTCCATCCATCATCCAACCTACCTTGCCTACCTATCGGTCCATTCTTTCCGAGGTTTATTTTGACTCTCACCGTACTCACTTACATCGTGATGGTCGTTTTGGTTACATGGCATCGTTGATGTGTACAGCGAGAGAAAGAAAGGTCAGCGATGTAGAGTTAAATATTTCGGAAATTTGAAATATTTAATTACATCCATTTTTCCCACCGGCTTTGGGGAGTTCTTGCTCTCTTTTTCAATATGACCCAGTCGGATGCATGAGATGCTGTCCTCTTCCTCACGCACGCATGCAGCGAGCGTTTCGAATAGTTAGGTTTAGTTAGGTAGTATTTATGTCTTATTATCCTCATTCTATGAATTGTTCACGTTTAATGAGACAGTTAGGTAGCCGAAACGTGGTCTAAATGGGGGAATAACCAGCGAGTGGAAGTGGAAGCAAGCTTACGAGATATGTAGAGACGGAAACGAGAACAATGAAGGTTGGAAAGAATTACAGTCGATTTGAACAGGTTTTTAAAAAATAAGGAAATACAGTCCTCTCTCCACAACTCGATGTCCACTAACTCGATATTGAGTTATAGAATAATAGTAAAAATTAATTTCATGGCTAATGGGATCGTTATTTTGTATGGGATTGTTGTTTTATAACTCGATAAATCTATAACTCGATGGTCCCTTAAATATCGAGTTGTAGAGAGTTCACTGTATGTACTTACGGTGTGGCACTTATTTTAAGATAATCGTAGTAGAGAAATAGGTGACGATCTTTCATGATGTGTGTCTTTAAGAAATCTGTGCATGCATTTTGATTTTTTGACGTAGGACTACGTTTTTGATTTCTATATGGGGGCACACTTTGTTTAAACCGAAAATGGAACATGTAACAAATTAAGAAAGATTTTGAACGTTAATAACTCAGCTGCCCCTGGTTCAATTTAAATAATTTTATCACCAATCGATCAGAAATTTGACTACGTATCGATAACAATGCTTTCGAATGTTGATTTTCAACAAGAAACTATTGAAAAATTGATAAATGTCCAGCATTGTCCAATAGCGTCGAATTAACTAACAAATCCACCAATTACCTACATGCATATGCTGCTTCCCCAGCACAGTCGCCAGAGAGTAGTAAGTAGACGAAACAAGTCGAAGTGGCATTCGCCTTCGATGCTCGGGCGCGTGCGAATAGGGAGGATGGAATTGCGTAATATTTTGCACACTCGCCGTGTACGCAAAAGGAAAAGAGCCAGTGTCGCTACTTGATAGCAAACTACTCATAATGGGAGGAGTCTTTGTAGCTTTTATACCACTTGGTTGCACATCATTCTGCTTTAACCTGAAAAGATATAAAAGAGCGCTGCTGTATGGCATTAGCTCACAGTTCAGTCGATTTTTATTCTCTCTCGTTTCGTTCGTTCGTTCGTTCGCAAATCGAATTAGCTCCGCGTTGTGTAGTGACGCTCTCGCTGACCCAGCCATGGGTAAGAAATCGCGCGGTAACGCGAGTGCCGGTTTACCGGGAAAACAGCCTCTCCCAGGAGACGGCGCGACCACCGAGCCTGCCCAGAAGAAGCAGAAGAAAACACCATTGCCCGTCCCGACGGGCGTTGCGGACCCGCAGCCGGGGCCTCCCGGAACTAAACGACCCAGAACTGAAGACAGCAGTGCCACCGCATCGGCAGCAAAAAAGCTGCTGAACAACAATCCGTTCTCCGCCCTGCAGAACGGAGCCCAGCCGCAGTCGGACCCTGAGACGGTGCCGAAAAAAGTGAAGTTGCCACCCTTCTATGTGAAGGGCTTCCCTCCCGGGCTATGGGAAAAGCTGGATTACTACATTAAGGAGGGCCTTCGTTGCACCATTCAACGGTGCACGGAAGGCTACAAACTGATGGTCTCGGCCGAAAATCACTACAACGCAGTCCAGGCCCTCTTGGGCAGGATGAAGCTGGAGTACTTCTCCCACGACGTCGAGGCCACCAAGCCGCTGAAAGTGGTGCTGCGCGGGCTCCACGACATGGACACCACCACCTTAATGGACGAAATTAAGGCGAACGGCCTCAAGCCGGTCAAAATCCACAAGATGACCCGCAGCAAGGCCATCAAGTATCGTGACCAGCTCTACCTGGTCCATCTGCAGAAGAACTCCACAACCGTGAAGGATCTCCAGATGACACGCACACTGTTCCACATCGTAGTGAAGTGGGAGTGGTATAAGCCGACCCACCGTGGCGTCACTTAGTGCTCGAACTGCCTATTGTTCGGGCACGGCACCAGGAACTGCCGCATGGCCAGCCGCTGCATCAAATGCGGCAAAAACCACAAGATCGACGACTGCGACAGCATCGAGGAAGCCGCTCCCACATGCGCCAACTGCGGTGCAGCCCACAAGGCCACGAGTAAGGCCTGTCCGAAGCGGGCCGAATACGCCGAGATCCGGAAGAAGGCCTCGTCCAACAACCAGCCCGGTCGCAAGATGGTTCCGGAAAACAACGCGCAGAACTTTCCTCCGTTATCACCGGTCCAACCACGGCCAATTCCAGTGTTGGCGCCGCTCCCGCTCAACCAACAGTTGGCTGCTGCGCAGTCGGCTGCCGCTGCAGTACCCGGTCAAGCCTCCAGCCCATCGATGGATCCCCCTGCTCCGGGATTGGCCGGTACAACCGGCGAAGCATCCGACGATTCTCCGCTGTCAACGGATGAGATCGTCACACTGCTGGCCCAGGCCATCCCCAGGCACCTGCGCTACAAGAACACAACAGCTCCAAGCTATCATCTCCTTCGTCGCTAATTATGGACCGTGAAGCCATAAAGATCGCCAACTGGAACGCTCGCTCCGTAGGGGCGAAAAACATTGAGCTTGCAGACTTCCTCCGCAAGCACGACATCGACGTGGGCCTTCTCACCGAGACCCACCTCAAGACCGGTGACAGCCTCTGGCTGCCCGACCACAGCATTGTCCGGCTTGATCGCACCAGCTCCAGGGGGGCGGTGTCGCGGTCATCATCAAGAAAGGCATCAAGTACTGCACCCTACCCCACTACCGCACTTCCATCATCGAGGCCGTCGGCGTAGAGGTGGAAACATCGACCGGAAAAGACCGGTTCATCGCCGCCTACTGCCCCCGGCAATATACCGTTAGCAATGGTACAGCACATCAGTTCAAGAACGACCTTGCCATCATAACCCGCACCAATGCCCGCTTCGTAATCGGAGGGGACCTGAACGCCCGGCACGAGGCCTGGCGAAACTACCAGCAGAACCAGAACGGCCGCCTGCTATTCGACCATTCCCAGCATGGTCTCTATTCCGTCTGGTTTCCGGACGAACCAACCTTCACATCACCGGCGGGCAACCTATCGACGCTGGACCTGTTCTTGGCAAACACTGGATTAGCCAAGCCGGTTGCCGTCAACGACCTGAGTTCGGACCACCAACCGGTGCTGACCGAGCTGGGCTGCAACGTGGCCCCTGCACAGTGCCTGTGGAAGGACTACCATCGAGTCAACTGGGTCCAGTTTCGGCGCGTGGTCGACCGCCACATCGTCGACAACCCACCGCTCGACACAGTGGAGGACATCGACCGGGTCCTGGAGGGTCTCCATCAAGCCATATCCGTGGCTGACAAAGAGTGCGTTCGACGAGTTACTGTGAGGGGTAAGTTTCAAGCAATTGATTCCCACACCAAACTCTTGATTCGGCTCAGAAATGTTCGTAGACGCCAGTTCCAGCGGACTGGGGATCTGCAGCGTAAATACGAAATGGTCGATCTGAATCGGCAGATCGCTTCCAGAATGGTCTCAATCCGGAACGAGAGTTTCGGGCGGCTCGTTCAGAACCTGGACGACCGTTCCAGACCATTCTGGAAGGTTGCCAAGGTGCTGAAGTCTCACCCCAAGCCCATTCCACCTCTTAGAGTCAATGACGAACGGCGTATTACCAACGAAGAGAAAGCCAATGCGATTGGGGAGCACCTTGCCCAGTCGCATTTGCTTGGATCCAAAATCCCAAGTCCACTCGAGAACCAGGTTGCGCAGTGCGTCCAGACGTTAGATGCCTCCCCTTGTGCCGTCCCTCCAGAAGAACGGATTACAGAGGAACAAATTTGCTCAGCGCTGAAACACAGTAAGAACATGAAGGCTCCCGGGTTTGACGGAATATTCAACCTAGAGTTGAAAAATCTCAGCGCGAGGGTGCACTCGCTGCTGGCTGCCATCCTCAACAGGTGCCTGGAGCTGCACTACTTTCCAAGCATCTGGAAGGTGGCAAAAATCATCCCGATCCGCAAACCTGGGAAAGACCCTTCACTACCGTCAAGCTACAGACCGATTAGCCTGCACTCAGCGCTGAGCAAGCTGTTCGAAAAATTGATCCTCAGCCGACTAAACAAGTTTGTGGAGGAACATGACATTCTTCTTCCGGAACAGTTCGGGTTCCGCAAGGGGCATTCCACCAATCATCAGCTAGTGCGGGTGATGAATAACATCCGAAGTAACAAAGCTGTATCCAAGTCCACAGCCATGGCTTTGTTAGACGTCGAAAAGGCGTTTGACAATGTCTGGCACGACGGACTTATATACAAGCTTTGTAACTCTAACTTTCCACCATACCTTGTGAAAATCACCCGTAACTACCTCCAGCAAAGGTCGTTCAGGGTGTCGTTGAATAGTTCCCTTTCGGGACAATTTCCGATCCCAGCAGATGTTCCGCAAGGGAGTCTGCTGGGAGCACTGCTTTACAGCATCTACACGTCGGACATCCCTCCTCTAGGAGACGGTTGCGTGTTCTTCCT